CAGTAGGAATGGTACTAGCTCTTCTTTATACATCTGGTAGAATTTGGCTGTGGATCCATGTGGTTCAGAGCTCTTTCTGGTTGGTAGGGTTTTTATTACTGACTCAATTTCAGAACTCATTATTGTTCTGTTCAGGGATTCTCTCTTCCTGGTTCAGTCTTGGGAGTTTGTATGTTTCCAGGAATTTACCTGTTTTTTCTGTGTTTTCCAGCTTGTATGCATAGAGGTGTTCATGGTAGTCTCTGAGGGTTTTTTATATTTCTGTGGAGTCAATGATACTGTCCCCTTTGTCATTTCTGATTTTGTTTATTTGGATCTTTTTTTCTTTATTAGTCTAGCTAGCAGTCTCTCTCACTTATTCTTTCAAAGAATTAACGCAGGGATTCGTTAATCTTTTTTATGATTTTTTGCATCTCAGTTTCTTTCAGGTCAGCTCTGATTTTTGTTATTTCTTGTCTTCTGCTAGCTTTGGAGTTGGTTTGCTTTTGTTTGTCTAGTTCCTCTAGATGTGATGTTAAGTTGTTATCTGAGATCTGATTTTTTTTTTTTATGTGGACTTTGAGAGCTGTAAATTTCCCTCTTAACACTGCTTTAGCTGTGTCCCATAGAATCTAGTATGTTGTATCTTTGTTCCCATAGTTTCAAAGACTTTCTTGATTTCTGCCTTAATTTCATGGTTTACCCAAATGCCATTCAGAAGCAGATTGTTTAATTTCCCTGTGATTGTATGGTTTTCAGCAATTTTCTTAGTATTGATTTCAGTTTTTATTGTACTGTGGTCCAGAAGTGTGGTTGGCATGATTTCAGTTTTTTTTAATTTGTAGAGGATTGTTTTATGTCCATTGGTGTGGTTGTTTTTATACTATGTGCCATGTGGTGATGAGAAGAATGTATATTCTATTGTTTTGGGTTGAAGAGTTCTGTAGATGTCTATTCAATTCATTTGGTCAAGTGTTGAGTTCAGGTCCTAAACATCTCTGTTAATTTTCTACCTCAGCAATCTGGCTAATACTGGCAGTGGGGTGTTGAAGTTTCCCACTATTATTTTGTGGACATCTAAGTCTCTTTGTAGGTCTGTAAGAACTTGGTTTATGAATCTGGGTGCTCCTGTGTTGGGTGCCTGTATATTTAGGATAGTTAGGTCTTCCTGTTGAATTGAACCCTTTACCATTATATACTGCCCTTCTTTGTCTTTTTTGATATTTGTTGGTATAAATTCTGTTTTGTCTGAAGTTAGAATAGCAACCTTGCTTTTTTCAGTTTTCCATTTGGTTGGTAGATTTTTCTCCATCCCTTTATTTTGACCCCATGGGTGTCTTTGCATGTGAGCCTGGTCTCTTGAAGACGCCTACTTTTAGTCTTGCTTCTTTATGCAGCTTGCCAGTTTGTGCCTTTTAATTGGGACATTCAATCCATTTACATTCAAGGTTAATATTGATATGTAGAGATTTGATCCTTCATTGTGTTGTGAGCTGGTTATTATGCAGACTTAATTGTGTAGTTGCTTTATAGTGTCACTGTTCTGTGTACTTAATTGTGTTTTTGTAGTGGCTGATAATGTTCTTTCCTTTCCAGATTTAGCACTCCTTTCAGGATCTCTTTTAAAGCAGGTCTGGTAGTAATGAATTCTCTTACCATTTGCTTGTCTGAAAAGGATCTTATTTGTCCTTTGCTTATGTGCTTAGTTTGACTGCATATGCACTTCTCGCTTGGAAATTTTTTCTTTAATAATGCTGAATATAGGCTCCCAATCTCTTTTGGCATGCAAGATTTTGGCTGAAAGGTCTGCTGTTGGCCTCATGGGGTTCCCTTTGTAGGTGACCTGCCTATTCTCTCTAGCTGCCTTTAACATTTTTTCTTTCATTCCAACCTTGGAGAATCTGATGATTATGTGTCTTGGGAATGGTCTTCTTGTGTAGTATTTGCAGGGGTTCTCTGCATTTCCTGAATTTGAATGTTGGCCTCTTTAGTGAGGTTGGGGATGTTTTTATGGACAATATCCTGAAATATGGTTTCTAAGTTGCTTGCTTTCTCCTCATCGCTTTTAGGGATGCCAGTGCATTGTGGATTTAGTCTCTTTACATAGTACAATATTTCTCAGAGGCTTTGTTCATTCTCTGTTATTCATTAAAAAAAATTTTTTCGGCCAGGCATGGTAGCTTATGCCTGTGATCCCAGCACTTTGGGATGCCAAGGCAGGTGGATCTCCTGAGGTCAGAAGTTCAAGACCAGGCTGACCAACGTGGTGAAACCCCATCTGTGCCAAAATTACAAAACATTAGCCAGGCATGGTGGTGGGCACCTATAATCCCAGCTACTCAGGAGGCTGAGGGAGGAGAATCTCTTGAACCCAGGAGGTGGAAGTTGCAGTGAGCCAAAATTGTGCCATTGCACTCCAGCCTGGCAACAAGAGCAAAACTCCATCTCAAAAAAAAAAAAGGAAAAAAAATTTCATCTGACTTAGTTCAGAGAACCAGTCTTTAAGCTCTGAGATTCTTTCCTTAGCTTGGTCTATTCTGCTATTAATATTTGGGATTGCATTATGAAAGTCTTGTAGTGTGTTTTTCAACTCTCTGATCAGTTTGGTTCCTTCTTATAATGGCCATTTCATCAAACAGCTCCTGTATTATTTTATGGTAATCATTAGATTCCTTGGATTGTGTTTTGGCTTTCTTCTGAATCTTGATGACCTTCATTTCTATATTCTGAATTCTATCTTTCTGTCATTTCAGCCATTCCAACCTGTTTAAGAACCTCTGTTGGGGAACTAATGTGGTCATTGGGAGGAAAGAAGACACTGTGGCTTTCTGAGTTGCCAGAGTTCTTGCACTGGTTCTTTCTCACCTGTGTGGGCTGGTGTTCCTTCAACCGTGGCATAATTTGTACAGTTGGTTGACTTTTCTGGATGTTTTTAGAGTCTGAGGCATTGTACAAGGTTTTTATTTGTAGCTGAGTTATTGTCTTTAGTTTCACAGGAGAGTTTATTAGCAAAGTATTTTTTGTATTGAAGTTTGCACTGTGATTGAAGTTTGATGGCCCTTAAGCGTAACGGCCAGTAGGTAAGCTCTTGCTCAGCCACGTGGCTCTTCTGTATTTCCTCATGATTGCAACTGTGCTCCCTCTCAGTGCTCTGAAAGTGTGGGCTCCTCTCCCACTCAAGTGCTGGCTGCAGATCTCGGCTTGGCACTCCCAGGCTTCAGCCCTGGGGTGAGCTAAGGCTTTATGTTCTCTCCGAGCTTGGAGGCAGCACGGGAAGGGAACTTGGCAGTGGCTATGGCAGAGGGCCTTTCACTCGTCTCTGGGGTCCACCCCAGAGAAATGCAGAACTGCTGCCAGTCAGTGTGATTGGCTTGGAGTAGGACAGCTGCATTGTGGGCTCAAGCTGGGGGGATCCTGGGGGAGACAGACTGACCTCTTCTTAGGGCAGTGGCAGCTTGCTGGAGGTATGGTTAAAGCACTCAGGGTCTTTGCTTCTTTCCTAGTCCAAGGGTAGCAAGGGGAGTACCACTGCAGTGGTAATGGCAGAGGGTCTTTTGGTTGCGTCTGGGACCTCCACTTCAGAAACACAGATCCGCTGCTACCAGGATGTTCAGCCAGGGGGTGGGGCAGCTGTGCTGCTGGCCTGAGCCAGGAGCCCCACCAGATGAAAGGTGGGGTGCTGAGGGCTCACAGGGAGGAGATGGGCTCCTCTCTGTATGGTGAGTATGTCATGCTAGTAGTGCAAGTAAAGCCCTCAGCCTCTTTGTTTCTTCTCCAGTCCAGGGGCAGCAGGGGCAGAACTCTAAATGAAGTTCTCATTTGCAAAGTTTCGGATTTCAGCCTTCACTTGTTTGGTATAGAAAATATTGATACATTTTGAATCTCACCTGATTTTACCTTCCTTCATTTCCCCTCTCAACAGTGTTTCTAAAATCTCTGAAATGACAATGATCAGAGTAAGAGCAGTAGACACAATAAATAGTGAAAATAAGTTATAAATAAGTTAACAGCATATTGGTTCTTTTCCCTAGCATTGCAATCCTGTGTGTTTAATAACAGCAAATATTTTCAATTATATAGTAACTTAATACAGAGAATTTTACTTGTTAACCTCACTTTGTTAGCACACAAATGAAGAATATGGAGTAAGATGTATTTTTACAGAAGCAGAGTAGTTAAGTAGAAAGGGTCCGCTGCAGCAGCATCTCTGATGCCACTTAATTAGCTGTGTCACTGAACTATAGGTTCCTCATTTGTGAAAACAAAACAATGGACCAGTGAGCTCTGAGGTACCCTCAGGTCCAAAATATATGACTCTATGATGATGGTTTCCTTTTTTCTCTTTCTGCTACTGAGAACAAGGTATTCAAACTAAGGAAAATTACGAGTAGTCCTACTTAGTTGGATACCAAATTAGTAGAATTTGATATCCAAATTCTTCTAATATTAAAATTCTTCTGAGTTACATTAATAACCTCTATTGATTACTAATAGAATAAACCTCTTTGTTAGAAATTTTGGATCATTTGCAAAGGAAATAGAAACTATGGTTCTGTTCATGGCCTCTAAAAAATTAAAATAGGAAGGAAGAACAAACAGAAAAATCTGTACCTGTGAATATGAGATTTCACTTTTTCTTACAAGCAAGTCAAAGTGATTTTTTTTTAGCTTTGTTAATTCATTCAGCAAATGTTTACTGAATATCTGCCATGTGCCAGGAGTAGTACCAGGCACAGGACTCCTGCTGTCCTTGAAGAGTTTTGTGGAATGTGCTGACCTACAGGTACATACAGTGAGCTATGGAATTTTTAAGGCCAACAGTTTGTTTGAAAAGAAATGTTTAGTTCAATAAAGTTAACATATATAGAAATTAGCTTAAGATACAAGCTTGGTCTTTAGCCTTTGAAGAATAAATTGGGTCAGTAGTGGTGGAATAGGAAATCAAAGGAAATACTATGCGCTTTCTATGTAGATGAATGTATGCACCAGCATTTGGATGTTTAATGGTGTTCCTCTTACAGCCGTTGGACATACCAGATGGTCGAAGAGCTCCACTCCCTGCTCATTACCGGAGCAGTAGTACTCGCAGCATTGACACTCAGACTCCTTCTGTCCAGGAGCGCAGCAGTAGCTGCAGCAGTCATTCACCCTGTGTCTCCCCTTTTTGTCCCCCGGAATCCCAGGATGGTAGCCCTTGCTCAACAGAAGATTTGCTCTATGATCGTGATAAAGGTAAGAATGGAATCGTCCACTTAGAGGGTTTGTTATGGGGCCTTGCTCATTATACCTTGTCTTAGACCATTACATCCTTTTTTTCTCTTTTGTTGAGTGGTGACATTGTCAAAGATTGGTTAATCTAGGTTTGTTTGTTCATTGGTTTCACATACCCCCTTCTTTGTGACTCTAACAAACATCTTCCATAAATGTGTCAGAGAAGCACAGCGCATGGTTCTAACAGCTAATGAAAGCCATAAAATGGAGTGTGTACAACTTCATATAATACATAGGTCTTTTCCTTAGTATTGTCCAGAGCGGATGATGGTTATGGTAAAGTTTATGTTTCTCAAGCTTAAAGTTAGATTTTATAATCAGATTGATTTGCGAGGAAATCATTTCTAAAAATTCTGTTGGAAAAGAGTGTATTTTTAACCAAGTTTATAAAGCTCAGTGAGTACCTACAGGACATCAGGGATTATATTATAGTATGTAGATAAATTATTAACTGTTGAGACCCTCTGGGATTCTTATTTCCTATCAAGCCCAACTATCTCTCCATGTTCTTCTATCATTGTGTCTACCACCACTTGTCAGCCAACACTCCCTGGGTTCTTTCTGTTTCTAGCCCCCTAAGACCTAGCTACAGAAGGCCATGTAGACTGCCCAGCTTCTACCTTCCTACCTACTTGCAAAGAAACACTGAACTTATGTTTATAACAAATTTACTGCTTGTCACCATAGAGAAATAGGTCAATGGCAACAAAAATGTAAAACTATACAAAGTTATATGGTTATAAAATCTTAGGAGTTTTACGGTCCTTGTTCTGAATTGACCCCATCCCCTATGATTGATATGTTGTTGTATGTAAAATGCCCAGATCATAAGTGCTCAGCCAAATGAATTTTTACATGTGTGTGCTCATGAAACCACTACCTAGGTCACGTATAGATATAGAAGATTTTTATTATCCCACAAGGCTCCTTGCGCCTCTTCCCCAATAGCATCCTTCCTCTCTCCACTTGAAAGTAACCACTTTGCTGACTTCCATCACTATAATTTAGTTTCCCCTGTTACTAGACTTCATACAAATTGAATAATGAGGTATATATTCTTTGTGTCTAATGTCTTTTACTTATTATATGTAACTCTTCTTAGATGTTAAGTGGAAGCTACTTTGGATTTTGTCCTCTGCTTTTATATGTGGGTAGATCTTAACAGTTCTCCCCTTTCTTGTGACTCTTTCATTATTGAAGGCTTTGTGGACCCCCTTCCTTCATTATAAGGATATATTGAATATAGTACCAGATATCTCTTGGCTTCACGTAGGAAGCCTCCATGTCTTAAAATGTCAGACTAGGAAACTTTCATTTCACTGAAGCATCCTGTGAGAATAAACACCTTTAATCACTTCCTTACAACCTTTTAATGTGGGTGTTTCACAATAAAACATCTTGCTTCCAGTAGGAATGTTTGTTTTGAAGGTAAATGGAAATGATAATAGTAACTTGATTTAGGTTGTGTAGGTGGTAAATGGAGAAACCAGTCTGTCTTGATTCCAAACTCATATTCTTTGTTATGCCAGTAGAAAGGATAAGTACAGTTCAGGTTGGCCACTTTTGCTACTTAACACTTGTACCTGGGGTAAAAATGAAAAGTAGAAATAATGGTGGTAGTACAGCTAGACAGTTAATTCTGGAGTTCTGTTTTCTTTAATACTGTGGATAATTGAAAGATGCTGAACCAAAAAGAAAATGTATTGAGAAGATGGTAGATGAGTTCCATTTTGGTTAACTAGTTGTGAGATTGCCTTCAGGGCCTCCCAGTGAATAGTGGTTTCTGTAGCTCACAGGTCTTCACTTACATCATAAGTTTCAAACAGTGTGTGTTCTTTAATATATAATAGCTCTTTTTCCTAAAGATATATAATCTGTTTTATTATGAGAAGGTATAATGATGTCATTCTCCTGCCAGGGTCTTTTGCAGGAGATGTTATAACATAGAAGTTAAGAGTAGCACTGGCTTTGGGACCATAGGAATGCATTTGAAAATCCTGTGAAGGTTTGGACATAAAACCTGCAATAATTCTCAAGGATTTAATGAATAGTAGCTGCTGCTATAAAAATAATCACCTTTATTATCACCTGTTAGTTTCCCTAATCGTTTCAGGAAAAAATATCAATTATTTAACTTCCACAGCTTAGTCAAAATCACCTTCTCTGGCCTAGTTTGTGTCAATTATCTAATAATATTAATTCTGACCATTTCTTAGACAGGTTAGACCTTTTCCTAAGTTTGCCTTTGTTGGTATATTTTCCTCTATGTCCTTTTGTTCTTACATACCAGATATAAGCCTGCATAACACTAACTTCTTTATACTTTTTTTTGTTTGTTTAATATGTAAAATGAGAACATTGGTTCAGATCATCTCTAAAGCTAAAGTTTTTTCCTAATAGTTAAAAAATATTTCTTAGTAAAATAGGGTAATAATACCTACCTCATATCATTATTGGGGTTACATGAGATATAGCAAAATGCGTAGCACAACTTTTTGGCACATGGCAAACAATTAGTGGTGATGAATGTTGCTTAATAGTGATTTTTTAAAAATCTCTTTAGAACTTATAAATATAGAATGGGTTTCAGAATTATTTAAGACATTTCTCTGTTTTCTACAAGATCACCTCAGTTTGAGAATTAAAGCCCTATGACATCAGTTTCATAATATCTACCATATTTAGCTGAGAGGCATTATTTTGTGATTAAGATCAAGTTGATGTTACTACTCCCTGGAATACTGTGTAGCCCTCTGTTATGCAATACAAGGTTTCTAGTTCTCAAACAAATCAAATATTATAAAGAGAAAATGAAAATAGCACCTATCCCTTTTATATATGTAAGTATGCACACATAGGTATTTTAGAATTGGGAGTTGAGATTTATGTATTTCAACTGAGGTTATACTTCTAGTTTATTTAAGGAATACTTGTTGAGCATTTATTGTATGTCAGATATTGTACTAGAGAGTGGAGAAATAGAGATGATTAAGATGTGGTATCTGTCTTTAAGGAATTTATAGTCTAGTAGGAAGTAATTAGGAATGTAAACAAATACACTATTAGACAATGATGTTTAGAATACTAAAAGTATAAAGGAAGGAGTTGTCCAGAAATTTTACAATTTCTGGAACTAATATGTCATTCAAACTGTAGGCTAGTTTCTGACTCATTTCTTCTTCATGTAAAGCCCAAACTCTGGCTTTTGCTGTTTTTAAAAAATACTAACTATTTCTGTGATCCCAGCATTTTGGGAGGCCAAGGCGGGCAGCTCACTTGTGGTCAGGAGTTAAAGACCAGCCTGGCCAACATAGTGAAACCCCATCTCTACTAAAAATACAAAAAGTCAGGTGTGGTGGCATGCAGCTTCAGCCCCAGCTAATCAGAAGGCTGAGACAAGAGGATCAGTTGAACTTAGGAGGTGGAGGTTGCAGCAAACCGAGATCACATCACTGCATTCCAGCCTGGGCAACAGAGCAAGACTCCCATCTCAAAAAAAGATACTAATTCTTTCCTATAATGTATGTTTTCTACAATAAATCATAAATTCGTGTTTTGTTTATTAGAGACATAAAAGGAAGCTGTATAGCTTTCCTAGAGCTTTTCATCATTATGAAAACAGAATGAAGTCTATAATTTTGAAGTTAACAGGAATTGATTTGATTTGGAGTACCTACATATTCTGCAGTTGCTGTAGAGAGATTTGTTCTGTGGTAGAGTAACTAGTTCAGACATCTGTAGGAGCCTGGATAGACATGGAGGGGAGAGGGATAGCTGCAGTGAATAGCTGCCCTAATGAGGGATGTGCTGGTGAGCTGATTATTTTTCTAGTATTCGTTTTATATACGTATTCTTTTTCTGACTTTGCTAACGTTATTTTTGTGTGTTCCTAACATCTATTTGCTATGAATTATGTATCATTTGAGACCTATAAAATAATTTTAGTTGCATCGCACATTGGTTTTTTTCTTTGCCTGTATGGATTGCAATGCCAGGACAAAAACACTCTGTCAAGAAAGTTTCAACTGTTGAGAGACTTGTTTCAAGTGAATGGGTTTTTGGTGTTTTGTTTTGATTTTTTACTAGATTTTTCCAGTAACCTAAAGATTGAAGGCAACTTGGTCACACTGGTCACATGTATAAAGTTTCCAGGCTAACTAATAGCCATAGGAACTACTACTGCTCTTCTCTGTGCGGAGAATTCAGAGATCCAGAATAAGAGCACTCATCTTGACATCATCAGAATGTACCCTCAGAGGTAGCTTACATTCTTCCACATTATCATACCCAAAATAAAATGCAAGGAGCAAAAATAGCCATTTATGTAATACAGATGGCAGTGTCAGAATATTAGTTTCTTAAGCAGCTCTGCCAGCATTGCTTGATGGTAGCCAAACTGGTGCTGGGCAAGCCACAAAATGTAGACTTCAGTCAGCTACTTATCATTGATCTTTGGCACAGTTCACTTATGCAGTTGTTATAAAATTCTGCAGTTTTGCAGGATATTGTGGAAACATTGATTATTATAATCATGAAATAAATGGAATCATTTTATTCAGGCCAACTACTGAGAGTTGTATTCCAAGAGTCCATAAATTGATTACTTGTAATTTAAGCTATATTTTCCTGAAGGAACAGTGTACACTATGTGGATAGAGTTTCCCAAGCCAATGCATATAAGCCTATTTAACTCATTCTGTGACTTAACTCGTAAATATTCATATTGCTAAACTTTTAGTGTTAGGACTGAGCCTCCCTTGGTCTTAGGAGAAAAAAAAGTATTATTTTGTCTTTCCAGGGTCTAGGCTTGACCCTAGGCAGACTTCTGAAACAGACTGCTTTTGGCATCTTCCTATTCCTTTATACATATATTTTAACATACTTGTATTTATCTCTAGGGTTCTATTTCTTGACCTTTTTTTTGACCTGTGCCCTTACTATGCTGTAACCCTCTATTTTTT